CCGAAAGCCATTAGGCAATTCTCCGACAATGAAATATCGATACAACCTCAAATCCCACTCAGAACGCACTAAACGCCTCTACCTCTTCAAAACTCTTCAAACTCTCATCAAAGACTTTTCCGAAACTCACCTGTCCAACTCTCATCATCCCGCTTCAGCTGGACACCATATATGGCAGCACTACAAACTGGAGCCACCACCCCCCTTCGATCTTCATTTTCTTCTTCTTCTTCTTCTAGCACTTGCGCGACTAAGTTCCAGACATCCATCGCAGTTACGTAGCCGAGAGGACAATACTTATTAGACGAAGACGGAACGCAGTAATGGCAGCAATAAAAAGAAATAAAATTACAGGAGGGTGGGCAACAGTGGCTGGCTTTGCAACGGGGGAAGGCTGGTTTTGAATTTTGAACATGGACTTGTGGGAAAGAGATTCACGGCCCCCCGCGGCCCCCCGAGTCCTCAGAAGTCGTCATCGTCGTCCGTCGTCAAGGAGAGTGATGGTTTCATGGCGGCAAGCGGCGGCATTATGAGGGAGTGAGTGTCTCCAGGGTGGCCCCTTCCCTTGCATTCATGTGAGCCGCGCAGTGATGCTTACCGACGCTAACTGCCGCCGAATAACGCTGAATACGTCATAAGGGTGTTCAGGCTCTCATCGTGCCGACTGAGGTGGGAGAATCGGTACATCCATTTTAAGTGCTGCGTCGATGAGGCCCGTCATTGAATGAATTCTGTCGATGAGAAACGAGGGAATGCTCTTTGTCGTTGTTTGTTGATGTCCAAAATGGAAAGGAAGAAGGATGTCTTTTTTTGTAAAGACTATACTGTATGGTTGAATGTGTGTATGTGTACAAAAATATACGTAAAATTATATGATAACTTAACTTCCACAGATATAAATTTTATCATTAAAATCAAAATCAAGAAATGAATCTATAACATGGTTTTTTATAAATATTTATTACGTCCATTTTTTAAAAAATATTAAAATTTTTACATAATTATCATAAGAACAATGATTACAAGTTGATTGAATTACTAAAAAAAATGAGTATATTTTTAATTTTTATCCAACTTAGTAAGTTTTATCTTTTTTACTTAATATGAATTTATAAATAGAAATCTAAAGTATTTTAGAAAATTAAAATAAATAATCGCTCTTTATTTTTTAGAATAACCTTGTAAAAAAATAATGTATATCTTGATCATGCTAAATCAAGTTTTGGAATAATCTAAATGGTTTCCTGTTACTGGTCTTAACTGTTATATTTTTTCTAATATAATGATATTTTAAATAATAATAATAATAATAATAATTCTTAATTTTCAGTCCCTTATTTATATCTTCTTAATACTTCAAGATTTTTTTTTTAGTATGTATTATTTATTTATTCTTGACGTAAAAGATCACCTTAGTTTTTGAATAATATTCATACATCTTAAAGATTATCAAATGACTTATTTTATGATAGTATTAAATTTTTTATTATATATATAATTCTTTTAAAACCATTGCTTTGCTATAGAAGATAGAAAAAATCTCTAACAAGATACTAAAATTTTACCATCTTTGGTTTTTATACAAAATCCTCTTAAACATGTTCGTATAGTTTTAAACAAATTACATGTAATGATATAATATGTAAAAACTGTCCAATTTTATAATACTAAAGATGTCTTAAATAACTTGTGAGAATATTTTGAAGATTACTTAAATTTCAATGTTATCTAATATTGTCCAGATCTTATAATTATAAACTTTTACAGCTTTAAATTAATAACTTAACAGAAAAAGTTGGCATTATTTACATCTTAAATAGACATATAAGTTCTTTTATATAAATTTTAAAATTTTGGAAGTTAAAACCTTTATATAAGTAAATAGAGGTGTGATGTTTGAAATCTGTGTTAATTACTTAAGTACTAAAATTATATCAAAAGTCTTATCTTCAAGAAATTTAATTCTAAATAGAAGATAATAAAAGCTAAGCTATTAGTTACTTGATTAATCAAATTTTTTGAAAAATCAAATCAAATCAAAAATTATATTGATACTGATATATGTACCAATATCAATATATAATGTTATTCTAAATTCCATATAGTTTTTGAACAAGAACTTAAATTTTGTATTTAAAATAAAAAATAAAAAATACAAAATAAATTTAAAAATTCAACCACTATATAAACAATCAACAATCAAAGTTTGAATTTATTTTAAATAATCTATGTAATTAATTAGATAAGTTTTTGTCTTGATCTTCTTCTTAAAATACACACATCTATTTAATTTATCATATTTTATCTCATAAAAGCTTCTATTAATCATTTATTTTAATCCTATAACATCAATCTTAATTATATATAACTAAAATTAATTACCAAGTCAATATGATTGTTAAGTTACATATATACATATATAATATTAAAAATATATGTAATATTAATAGTAAAAAACTTTTTTATTTTATTTTAATCAATCTACATATAAAGATTTAAGAGTTTCATCAAACCAAATTACTATAAGCTAATTCAATGTATTTATTGTATATTAAAGATTACATAATATAAATATAATTAATGAAATAGCTTCAAAATTAAACTATATATTAAATTGTACACAAGAAGGTATTACAAGAGTACATAAAAGGGCGTCAATAGTTTTTTATTTTGGTAAATTAAGTCCTATCTCTGCACATTTAGAATATCAAATTAAATGAACTTAATACAATCTAAAGATCCTTATTTTATTTTATTTTAATTTTTAGTATTCTATATAATTGAGATGCAACTTATTCCTATAGAAATTATGTTTTTGTTAGTAGAATTTAGAATAACATTATATTATTTTTATATTTTTATATTTTACACTTTTAATTTAAAATATACTATTTGTATATAAAATATAAGGCAAAAAATAATAGATTATTTTGGCTTCATGATATTTTTTATTTAATTTCGTACTCAAAAATTGTAACAAAGTAACAAATGCCAATATTTTGGGAAGCATACTTTAAACTCATTCTTTGTTTACACGTAATCATCAAAGTTACACCAAAAAGTTTATTCCGAGTCATGTTGTAATTTTCATAATGAACATATTTTTAATAATAGAAGCATGCCTGATTTCTATGTAAAGTAGAAATTACAATGTTTTTAGTAATGATTTTTTCTCTTTCAAATGCTCAAAATCAAAACTGTATTGACAATTAAGAAATACATAAATATATACCCACATACATATAAATGTATACCAAAATTCATATCAAGTGATCAAAGACTTCCATCATCAATCATCAATAACTAGTTTCTTAAATTATACATACATTATATAAACTACCACAAAATAAAAATATTAGTTTCTTAATTTAATTTATATATATATATATATATATATATATGTGCATGTGTGAGTGCGTGCACTTTTATCCCCCATTTTGTGAACATTATCTTACCTATACATACTAGATAATACCTTTATTCGCGCAACATTAAAAGACAGTACCCATATAGCAAATTCTGCTCTCTGTAAAGAAGAAACACACCTCCACAAACAGACAGATACTATCATATGGTGACAATTGTCAGGATGTCCACAATTTCCATTGCAGAGACGTTGGCTGAGCAGAATCCAGGTTAAATTGGGGGAATGAGCTCCACAAATGAGTCTAGGTGGCAAGGGCTCTTGACAAGCTGGCAGCGTGCTTTTATGGTCTTTTCGTGATTCTTCTATTAATGGAGCATGAATTGGAGCACTTTCCGTTTTGTTTTTGAAGCTAATACAAAAGTTTCCTCTTCAGTTTTTTGCTGGATAAATAGAATAAAGTATCGGATTAGCTTCGTCTATGGTAAAATGAATGAATGGCTCCCACGCTTTCTGAGCTTATGTTCTCCTGTCTGGGGAACATTTGGAAAAAGAGTAATAACTTGAAAATTAATAGGCTTTTTAATTTTGGTGCCTTGCGATGTCTAATTAGGGTTTGTGATGGTAATTGTCAACGTTTAAATTTGCCTTATTCATTTATTTATTTATTCTATTTTTTTTTTCTCTTCCTCTCTTGTGGTGCTTTACATGGCTTGGTGACACATATAAAGCACATCTTGACATGTAAACGAAGAGGTGTGACGATGGGTTTCACTATGTTTAAGGGTTTAGATCGTGTCGTTGAAGGATTTTTCAAATATTTTTCAAATCTACTGTTTTATATGTAAAAAAATAGTTGGGTCACGACCAATCCTGTTTGATACTTTAACCTAGAAAAAATTATGTAGAAAATTAGTAAATGGGTACAATCCGCTTGAATCCTATTCGATCATTCTCTTGGTTCCCATTGGTTCCCCTATCCCTGAAAGAGAATATTCCTTTCCAAGTAATGCACTCACAAAATGGCCAGCTTTGCATGTCACAGTTAGAATTAGACGCAACCCAAATTTAACAAATCCAATGAAACGATGCCATCTTCGCAGCAAGCACTTATGGCACCTCTTGCCCCACAAAAGCGTGCATAAATTGGCCCCTTTAAAGTCCATCCCAAACCTTTAAAATAAAAAGCTATAATAAAAATGAGATGCAAAAAGGGGTGAAGAATTCTCCATTGGGGAGACAGAGCGGGGGGAACCTCAAGTGGACACCCCCAAGGGCAGTTCCAGGCTGCCCGGAGCACGGATTCCGCCCGGAATCCGTTAAATTCAGAGCCAGAATGGGCTTGTGGCGCGGCCAGGATTCCACCGCATTCAGTCGCCTGATGGCGCCCGCTCTTGGGGGCGGGGCAGCCAGTTTGAAAAGAGCGAGTGAAGGGCGTTCGTTTTCCCTCCACGAAGCTCCCCGAGAGAGCGCGCCTCTGCGGCCTCCTCTCGCTGTCGATGAAACCTCCACCATCTCGGATGTTCAAATTATAATGCGTCCCCTTGACGCCACAAAATCCAGGAAAAAAAAAAGAAAAAAGAAAAATACTATAAAATGCTCGAACGTGAAGAGATCAAATGGGGAATTTATTGCTGTCATCCTCAGTCAAGTATCAAACCGTGGGAAGTCACCGTCGTTGTTGTCGTCGTCTCTTTCGAATGGAAGCGGGGGATGTAGCTCTTTCATCTGTGCCGGTTTTGTAATTCTGGGTTTGCCTCAGGGGAGGATGACGAGGTCGATGAAGTTCTGAATTAGTTTGTTTGTGTGGGTTTCCTTGGTGTTTGAGCGAGGGAAGCGGGAAAATTTGAGGGTGTCCTGTTCCCGCCCGCCTGTAGATGGAGTCTCTGGCATGTTGCGTGCGGGGGGTTGCCAGGGGTATATGACTCTCGTTGTCTCCTGCAGTGGTAGTGTTGTGGTTTTTCACTGTTTGACAGTTGGATTCTGGTTTCCTGAGAGGTTAGAGGTGGCCTGTGAGTGGCTGCGGTTGTGGAAGTTGTCACCTGCAGCCAACGGGAGCCTGTTTGCTAGTTGTGAATCCGTGAAAGAGCGGCTTTAGTGGAAGAAACGGAATTGGAGTAAAGATCCGGCGGTTTTGAAGGGGTCTTGTGCTGTTGCCACATTTCGCGAAGGGGTTAGAGTGGCTGAAGCATCATCTTGCACGGGCGCTGTTTGTCCGGAATAGGAGCTGAGAGTGTTGTGATGGACTGCAGCTTGAAGCTGTGTCAGATACTCTGATGGTCGCTTCGCTCTACTCTGACATGCCGGGGCGGTTGTGCTTGCCAGAGTTGTTCGTGCAGCAGAGGTGGTCGTGAAGTTTTGTAGGCATGCGAAGATTTGTGGCACAGAAGCTTGAGAACACGTCGCCTCTGACTCGAAGCTAGAAAATTGAGCCGAGAGCGGCTTTTGTACAAATTAATTTATGTCCCAAGCTTGACGAGTGAAGTTCAAAGTCCGGAAGACGTGAAAGGTCTTCATTATGTGCGGTGAGTTGCGAGATTCCATCCTAAGATCTGTGGAAGTAGTCAACCACACCGCGAAAATTTCGACAATGGCAGCTGAGACGGTGAGGCGTTTGCGTCCGCGCGCGGAAGGTTCCGCAGTTGCAACAGCCCCTTCAGAGAGTGCGAGGTTGACGAGAGCATCGACTAAGCGATCAGCCGTAGAAGATCCCAATGCCATTGTTCTGCACCCTAGGAAGCGGACCGTGCAGTCCAATGGCAGACGTGCCCCCCTCACTGACATATCGAAGCTGGTCAATGCTGCTTCAATTTCCAGTTTCGCAGTTGATATACTGAACTTACAGCACCAGGACGTGAAATCTAAACTGACTGTGGAAGGAGACGAAAATGATCTTCCGAAAATTCACGAAGAGTTTTGTGCAGTGGAGAGTGAACCGTGTCCTTCCAAAAATGTCCTCCAAGATCTCTCATTGCATTCCCAATTGCTTGACCCTCAAGCACAATCGGAACCTGAGTCGGAAGATAGTTCTACGGAAACAGCACCTCTAGAAGAACGAACCGTGCGTAACCTTGCTCAGTACAAGAGTTCAAAGGGTTCGGTGATGCAAGGCGATCTTTTCAATGACACTAGCTGCATGGGAAATCCGACTTGTTCGAAGGGGTCGACGTTTGAAGACATCGACGCTGACGAATCTGATCCCCAAATGTGCAGCACATACGCCACGGACATTTACGAGCATCTCCGAATGGCTGAGGTGAGGATCTCTCACCCATTTAATTTGTATTGGGTTATGATTCAATGACTTGCAGTTCAGGTTTAGCTTTGTGAATGTTTTAACTGAACTGAGGGCTTTCACTGCGTCCAGATCAAGCGCAGGCCTGCTACAAATTTCATGGAGGTCATGCAAAGGGATATAAGTCCAAGTATGAGGGGAATTCTCATTGATTGGCTTGTCGAAGTTGCTGAAGAATATAAATTACTTCCGGACACTCTTTACTTGACGGTTGCCTACATTGATCGGTTCCTTTCCTGCAACACTGTTACGCGGCAACGATTACAGCTCTTAGGCGTATCCTCTATGCTTATTGCTGCCAAGTACGAGGAGATTTGTGCACCTCAAGTTGAGGAATTCTGCTACATAACGGATAACACCTACCGACGTGAAGAGGTACACACGCTCACTGACAGGATGCTTGCCATGAATCGCTTAAAAATGATAACTTATTGAAGGGCCCACATGCGTTCAAAATCCTGACTAGCATGGCACTGTTGATGAGCAGGTTCTAGAGATGGAAATGAAAATTCTAAGGGAGTTGAAGTTTGAGCTGACGACGCCCACAACGAAGAGCTTCTTGAGGCGATTCGTCCGAGCTGCCCAATCGAGTTGCCAGGCTCCAGCCCTAGTTTTGGAATTCCTAGGGAACTTCCTTGCCGAACTCACCCTTACTGAGTACAGTATGCTGGGATTCCTGCCATCTATGGTAGCTGCATCCGCAGTGTATTTGGCCAAGCTAACTCTCGATCCGTCGAAATGTCCATGGGATGCGTCTTTGCAACATTACACTGGGTATAGGGCATCTGAGTTGGAGAAGTGCGTGAAAGTGATTCATGATTTGCAGCGGAACACTAGTAGTTGTATTCTTCCTGCTATTCGAGAGAAGTATAGAAAACATAAGGTAAGTCTGCTGCATTTGTTTGATCTCATTTCTTTGAACGTAGGGTAGTCCTGTTGGTTGGTTTCCTCGTAATTTAATGACAGTAGCTAGAGAGGATGTATCTAACTCTGTGCACTTTTTCGTAATGCAGTTTAAGTGTGTGGAAATGTTGACACCTCCATCAGTAATACCCCCAGAATTTTTTATTGACTCCGAACGCTGCTGACCATCTGAAGCTTCTCATAACAGTTCATATCAACTCAATCACTAATGCGTTGCCTGCTACAGGTAAGCTCTGATTACATTCTCTGCTCTCTGCTCAAAAGCTGCCTGGCTGCGTTTTAAAGGTCGTGGAGGCTAATCCGACATTGTCTTGTTGTCATGCAGTTCAAGCGTGTGTATCCACTGGCGACAGCGACTGGCCCTGGGGTACCCAAGGACCGTGAACAAAATAAGGGTTTGAGGTTGTGTCGACAGTTGGAAATTATGCCAGAGGCCCTGAGACCTGACAGAAACTCATTGCACAGTCTTCGCTGGTCTTCTTTCAGGGTCTGTGGCGTACAAAGAGTGGAAGACACTGTCATGACCTCCCGAGTAGCAGAAAACCGAGAAATCTACAATATCTAGACTTTATTTTTGTTAATATGGGTGCTGTGCAGTAGTTGCCCAGTGAGAACGAATGATCATGAAAATAGCTTTGTACTTGTAAAAAAAGCATTTTGTGTTTTGTATATCTTTTAATCTGGAAAATTTCCTCAGCGCATTGTCAGTATGTTAGCAACTTTCTCACAAGGAGAGTTTTAAAAAGACCCGTATGACTTCAGCAGTATCGTAGCATCAAAAAACGACGTAGCGTATGGTTGATATAGCAGGAGATTACTCGCAAAGTTGAGGTGCGGGATTCCATGATAATTGTACATTTTCAAGAATCAGATAAACGAAGTAAAAGTAATTTTTTTCACTTAAACGAGAAGTGTCTTTGTATCTGTCTCATTTCCCTCACTCTGCTGCACGGTCCATTCCTACGAATTTGGTTTTAATATGTTCGGATAATGTACTACCATGTCACAAAACTTTCCACAGTGGAAAGCTCACCTGGTGAGTAGGCTGCCAACTTTGTCCCACTCATTTTTCACCTCGTCCCCGCTTCCATAGCGACGATCGGATCCAATAACGAGTATCCTGTGCGTGGGTGATCCGCAACAGTGTCGTCCCCCTGCAACATCAACGTCCAACCTGTCGAACATCAGTTTTTTAACTACCTAATCATCTCTCCATCTTAAGAGATAACTACCCTTCCATCTGCTCCAATCGAACCAACCCCCGAAGTGTGTGCATGCAGTACCAACACCTTTTTCCCTGTCTCTCTACCGCAGTAGCGAGATTCAGAAACACCGGTTGTGCTCATGATCTGCGGTCCCTGCCCTTCTTTCTGCTCGCTCATCAGTTGTGTGCACTTGCATTTAAAACCTGATTTCCCGAGTGCGTTGCATGTGCTCCCCAGGCCATGGTGGCAAAGGGCGGTCCCTGTCCACAGCCATGGGCGGTGCTCCCATGCTCCCCAGCAAAAATCAGCCCTGCAGCAGTAGCAGCAACAACAGCAGCAGCAGCAGTGTTAATGCAAATCCCACGCTCCCTGCCTGGCCATGACCATAATCAAAGATTTGTCTGAAGCTTTCAGACTCTGTTCTGCTAACAGCTTCAGCCATTCATTCACTCCATCTCCCTTGAAACTGAGTGTTAGTAGTCTGCCGTTTTAGCAGAGCGGAAAAAGCCTTAAATGATCACAATGTATGACATGAGCTTGTGGGACATTAAATTGGTTTTTGATAAGGCTGTACTATTTATGAGAAAATGTTGTGGAATTTTAAATACAGAGCAGTGGCAGGTTTGTGGGGTTGTAGATTGTTGAATTCAATGTAGTTCCAACGAATGGGGAGGAGCGGAAGAAACTACTTTGATGTTAGCCTATTGAAGGTATAATTACAACATTTTGGGCATAACTTATGAATAAAATTTAAAAAATTACATGATTGATTATTTATTAATCTTGCAAAGTAAATAAGTATAAACCACTTTGTATTTCAATTTCAATATAACTTCTTAAAATTCTTACACATCAATACATTTTATATTCTATCTTATATCATGAATAAATCTTTTACTAAATGTATTCTTGTTTCTAAATCCTTTTGTCTCTTTCTCTATATAAAAAGTTTGTGAGTTTTATATATATATATATATATATATATATATATATATATATATATAATTTTTTTTTAGATTAATTTGTATAGTTAACTATTAATTTAAAAAAATAAGAATACTTCTAAATTAGATTTATATATTTGGTTGGAAATTAATATTTTTTAATATTTTTTAATTAATCATTAAAAATATTTTACAAGTCTTTAATTTTGGTTAAAATTTTAGAATATTCTAAAATTTTATAAAACATATATTTTTTATATATTAAAAA